TACAGTTTCTTACGTGATGTAATTTGAAGATAGTAATACTGGTTTCTATAGTAGGGTAATAAATAGTGTTTCTGGAATCAGAATGTCTCCAGTCAAATCTTGGTTTTTCCATTTGTTCCAAAACTATGCTTTTTCTTCACTTTCTTTTCTAAAAATAGCTCACTAAATAATCCAGATTCCTGCATCTATTCCTTCCTCTCCTTCCCTTAAAACCTTTGTTCTATATTCTGTTTTCTCAGAGCCTATTTTGGTTTTTATTAATCCATAAAATACTACTGCTAAGGTATTATAATGATTCTAATAGTTTATTTCCATTTCTAGATAAAATTAATGTTATCCATGTTTTAGGTTAAGTAACTGGCAAAAACATACTTATTAAAAATACTGCAGAACAAACACTAACAAGGAAAGTGTTTGCTAAATATCATAGGTTACTCTGATTTTTATAGGGTGTGAAATAAAGGATCAATCTTTTGAAGAACACATATATTAAGAAAAAATAAGTAAATAAAATAAGGAAAAATCAGTAACTTCAATGCAAGTTAATTTCTATATTAAGTTATTAAATATAAGCGCAGGTTCTGAATTCCCACTCTCTCTCACACTTACCATGATTTATAACCTCATGTAATTATTTAAACATTTTTCACAAACTGGAAATCCATATAAACATTGAGGTCAACTGTGGTAGATGTCAGATGAACAATGAGATGTTCTCTAGTAAATCTAGTTGACAGGAAAATCCATATCTCTTTACAATAAATGTTAGGAAACACGAGAAAGAAGATGTGTAATGTATGATAAAAGGTATAACCTAGTCAAATTAAATCTTTTTTCAGATCTTTAACCCAACCTGATTAATGAGCTAATTGAATCTTGCTTTAACTCCCTAAATTCTGACCTCCAGCTTTCTCATCAACACAGCAAAGTTAAATTCAATATGATACTTGAGCAAACACAGACATTTAGGTCCAAGTGATTATTTCAAAATTTCTTTTCTTTTCTTTTTTTTTTTTTTGTGAGGAAGATTAGCCCTGAGCTAACATCCGACGCCAATCCTCCTCTTTTTGCTGAGGAAGATTGGCCCTGGGCTAACATCCATGCCCATCTTCCTCTACTTTATATGGGACGCCACCACAGCATGGCTTGACACGTAGTGCATCGCTGCGTGCCCAGGATCTGAACCTGCGAATCCCGGGCCGCCGAGGCAGAGCGCGCACACGTAACTGGTATACCACTGGGCCAGCCCCCTTCAAAATTTCTTTTTAACTAAAGCTGATGGCCTCATTAAAGAAGGTTCATGCTTCTGATTCGAAGTTTTCCCTTCTCTGAGAGCAAGCATTCATTTTTTCTGTTTTCACAAAGACAGTTTTTAAAACTATAGTTTAACACAAGTGAAAAAACATAATACATAGATCAGAAGAAAATATAAAAGAATTTAAATATAATTTGTGAGTAATGAAGTTTTTTATGATTCATGGTTATGAATGCAGACTCTGGAAAAAGAAGGCCTAGGTTCAAATCCTGTTTTCGTCTTTTAGCTGCTCTAGGACCCTCATAAACTTAGTCTCTTCAACTGTAAAACAGAGATGTTAATACAACTTGTCTCAAAGCGTTGTATTAAACAAAATTGTATACAAGAAAATTAATACATTGACTCAGATACTAAGAACTAAAACAAGTCAGCTCTTATTATTATAAATTTCTACCCAACAGGTTATACTTCTCTGGGCCACTTAAGATACTTTTGTCTCATAGTTATTTGTAGGTCCTTCTCTTATTAATGAAGTTCCTTAAGAGACACATTCAGTTCACTCCCACAGTCCCACTCTGACCTGCCCATAGCAGTCATTCATCCATCCGTTCATTCATCTATTCAACAAATACTTATTGAAGATGTTCTATGTAATTTACTAGGGGACAGGATGGTAAAGGAGAGGTGCAAAGTCCTTGCCTTCACAGCTATTACAATGTAGTTGAGAACACAGTCAAGTAAAATTAAACATATTATACATTAAACAAATAGACCAAAAAAAAACGGGGTGGGGGAATTGTACATATGAATGTGTGCCGTAAGTGAAAAAATGGAGTTGGAATAGAGTATAAGATAGGGGATGTAGGACCTAGGTTAGGTAGATACCCAGGGAACATATCTCCCTGGTGAAGTGATGTAAAAGATGAGAAGCCGCTTACTATGAGAAGAGTGGAGTAGGGGCAGTGCCAGAGCAGTGGGATCAAGGAGAACAGGCCAGTCAGAAGAAAAAGCTTAACATGATCCAAGAATCTGAAAAATACTCACATGGCTGAAACAGCAGAATTAAGTGAGAGTCGCCTGAAGTAATGTTGTAGAATCATGCCCTCAGAAAATGATAAGGGATACATAAAAAAATTTTAAGCAGGAGAGAGGGGTAATGTGATTTAATCTTTGAGGTTTTTTTTCATATCTTTGTGGAAAATGTACTGTTGAGGGGCAAGAATGAAAGTGGGAAAAAGAGTTGTATTGCGCTGTCCTGGCGAGAGAAAATGACTGCCTGAATTACGATGAGGAGGTAACAGTGAAGGGAAGGCAGATTTGATACAAATTTGAGTTGAAATTGATGGGATTTACTGATTAATTGGATGTTAATATGAGGAAAAAGAAGCTATGAGTGATTTCTAAAATTTTCTTTTTAAAATACAAAAGACTCTAAGGAGAAAATGCCTTACAGTGGAAAGAAAGCAAGACCGCTCTTTGAGGCCTGTTATATTTGAGTTTTAAAGTATATTTGTGTCATCACAGAAATGATCATATAGGTATGTTAAGAAGGAAGATGGATATCTGTGTCTGCAGTGCACGAAGAGTTCTAAACTGGAGTTTCATTTGGGATTCAGCCCATAAAGAGAACATTTAAACCCATGGGATTTGATGAGCTCCCTCAGAAGACACAAAAGTGCAAAGTTGGAGAAAAGACAATCGAGGATTAAGCCCTGAGAAACTATTTAAATTTTACGTAGAGGAGCAGGAACCAACAAGAGATTGAAAAGAATCTACCAAGTATTGGTAAAGTAGATGAAAAACTAGGAAAGAGTGGTTTTGTAGAAGCCCAGAAAACAGAATATTTCAAGGAGAAGGGAGTAGTCAATGTATGACATGCTCTGAAAGATTTTCTGTTCTCCTTTACCTTAAAGTCTTAGAAGAATTTTTAAACTATTTATTATATCCAATTCCTCTCTTCTCATTCTCTCTTGGACCACTTCCAGTCAGTGTCTACCCCTGTGATGAAGGTAGGTCACCAATTCTCAATTTTTGTTGTTATTTAACCTATTAACAGAATTTGACACAGTTGATTTTCCCCTCCTCATTGAAACACGTTCTGCATTTGGCCTCTAGAATGCTACTCTCCTGTTTTTCCCCTACCTTACTGGTGACTCCTCCTCAGTCTCTTTTGCTGGGTTCTCCTCAGATTTCTGATTTGTATTCAGGCTTTTGCCCAAAGTTCTTGGTCGTCTCATGCAGACCTGTGGCTTTAAATACTCTGTGGTGATGATTCCCAAAGTTGTATCTCCAGCTCAGTTCTTCTGCCCTGAACTCCAGCTTTGCATGTGCAAGGCCTATACAACACCCCCACTCCTGGATTTCTAATATGCTTCTCAAACTTAACATCTCCATAATTGAACTGATATTTTCTTGCAAAGTTTTCTCCTCCGGTCTTTCTCATATCAGTGAATGATGGTTCTTCTTTTCCATTTATTCACGACACATCTTTGAACTTATCCTTGACTCCTCATTTCTTCTGACATTTTTTATCAGCAAGTCATGATCATCTCTACCTTCAAAATATCCATAATGTAACTACTCATTTCCACCTCCATTGCAACCATCCAGTTTCCAGCCACCATCTCCTCTTGCCTCAATCATTACAACTTCTTCCTAATAGGTCTCCCTGCTTTTCTCCTTGGCCTTCCATAGTCTGTTAGAAATAAAGCAGGTAAAATAATATTTTTAAAATCTAAGTCAGATAGTCTCATTCCTAAGCTCAGAAACCTGCAATGGTTCTGTCTCAATCAGAGTAAAACTTGTCTAATTATATGATTTAGCCTTTTTACCTTGCTGACCTCACTCCTTCCTTCTCCACTCCTTTTCTTGCCACAGCAGTAGCCTTGCTGGTTCTCAAAGTCTCTTGTCCTAGGGCCTTTGCATTCACTGTTCTCTCTATCTGGGAAGTTCTTCCCTCAGATATTTGCATGGCTGAATCTCTGATATATTTCATATCTTTGATTAAATCTCACTTTCTCAGTGGGGTCTTCCCTACTATCCTATTTAAAATTGCATCTCTTTCCTGGCATTCAACCCCTCCAAACTGCAGTATTTTTTTTCACAGTGCTATTCATCATCCAAATATAAACTTCCTAAAGACAGGGATATTTGACTATTTTCTACACAGCTATATGCTGAATCACTGAAAGAATTCTTGGCATATGGTTGGTGCACAGTAAATATTTGTCAAATGAGTAAGTTGAAGACATAGAATAGGATTAGGTAACATAGAGGTCATTTCAGTGGTAAAATTTGGGGAGAACCCTAAACGTACTTGTTTGAGGTGTAAATATGAAGTGGGGAAGTAGAAATAGGCTGTGTACAATGTTTTCAAGAGCTTCAGCTGAGAAGGAAGAGAGAAATGTGAAGGTGGTTAGAAGTGAAATGTAGGGTCGGGATATGCTTTTACTTTATTTTTTGTATTTTAACCTTGAAGATTGAGAGTATATATCTGTAGTGATGTAAAGGACCATTTAGAATAAGAGAAATTAATGATGCAGTAGAACAAAGAATGTAGCCAGAGGACCAAAGTTGTAGAGGTGTCATAGGATGTGATCCAGAGCACAAATAGGGAGATGTTTTTTGTTTGTTTGTTTGTTTGCCTGTCTTTAGTGAAAGGAAATATATTTCTTCCAGGATGATGAAAAAGAAAAGGGGGATAAATGTTTACTGAAAAAATATCATTAAAAATGCTTCTTTATTGGGGCCGGCCCGGTGGCGCAAGCGGTTGGGTGCGTGCGCTCCGCTGCGGCGGCCCGGGGTTCGCTGGTTCGGATCCCGGGCGCGCACCGACGCACTGCTTGGCGGGCCATGCTGTGGCGGCATCCCATATAAAGTGGAGGAAGATGGGCACGGATGTTAGCC